CTGGGGGCCTGTCCCCACACCCAAGGCGGCCTGCAACAACATGCAAAGACCCTGGAACTGGAACCTGTGCCAAAGCCGGGTCCCCGAGGCCATCAGGCTGAGCAGAGTGACCGAGCTGGGCTGCTCCAGGCTCCAGGCTCAGATGGAGCCTGCTTAGCTCCCAGGCCACGTGAGGACAGTGCACCTAGGTCTCCGGCCACCTGGCGGACACAACCCTGCTGGCTCCCACATCCTGCACCTGGAGAAACATCAGAAAACTCATCTGTAAAATGCAGGCTTTGGGTAGAAGGTGTCCGCGTCTGAAATCTGGGTCTCACACATACTTGGGAGGACAATAGTTCAAATCTTAGAATTTCGTCAGCCGTTTCCAAAACATCTTTAAAAATTCCAGTTTATCCTGTCAATGTTTTGATGGGGCTTAAAGAGTGATAGCACCCAACAGAGCGCCATTTCCTGTTCCCAAAGGTTGGGGCCCAAAGCGACTGGGGTGGCGATTGTCAAGGAAAGGAATTTACACTGCTCTGTGTAAGAGGTTCTAGTGCCAAAGAGGGACAGACAGAGCACGTGATTGACTTCCCTCTTAAGGGTTAGTGTCAATGATGTCCTCTCAGATTCTGCCCCCAGTAATCTTATAATTTTAAGTAAAAGGAGCAGGTCTGCACATTGGGTGTTATAAGTCCTAGAGCTGCCTGCCAGCCACCTGCAGACCTCCAACCCTCAGAGCTCCTACCGGGTTTCACTCCATGGGTTTTGAGAATTACTGCATTCTCTTGGCAGGAGCAGGTGCAAATGAGAAAGGGAGGAGGAAAGCGGAGACAGACACGTCATCGTAACTCCTAGAGGACACATAAGTGGTGTGAGTGGATAAGTAGGTGAGTGGGTGGACAGACAGATGGGTAAATTGATGGATACAAGGAAGATTGGATGGGTGGATGGATGGGTGGATGGAAACATGGATGAATGGAGGGATGAATACGTGAGTGGGTGGATGGATGAATAATGGATAGATAGGTGATGGATGGATGGAAGATGGCGGATGGATGGATGATAGATGATGGATGGTTGACGGATAGATGGGTGGATGAGTGGATATGTGTTAGAGCAAATGAGGGCAGAGGAGTGAGGAAAGTGAGAAGGGCCCACGTTCGCTCCCCTGGAAGCTACACCCACACCATCATGGAGAGAGCGCAAGGGTTCACAGCCTCGAATGCCAGGTTACCCCGGGAGGTGTATGAGCTGTGGCACAGCCGAGGGGCAGTCATGCGCACCAACACTCTGCCCTCCCCTAGCACCCTCGGGAGTTTGTCCTAACGCGGGGAGAACAAACCCCTCCAGGCTACTTGAGCCTCAGGTGCTTTGGGCTCTGCAGTCCTAGGCTACACGTTCTGTGGCCCGTAATGCTGAGAGTGTGCAGGCTGGGGCCCCCACGCCCCTCCCCGTCCTTGTGGCTGTGTGCGAGCCCTTCTGCAGGCTCTGTCCCCCACTTCACAGAAGGACAGAAGGACGCAGCACTCCCCTGAGGGTTTCTTCCTCATCCCCCAGTCCCCTGAGTCCCAGCGCCTGGCAGGGACACAGCCAGAGAAGCTGACAACCAGGGCCCATGCCGAGCTCCATAGAGGGTGTCCCATTGCTGGTCCTGGGTGCTGGTGTGGGCAGGGATCCCGTGGGGCCTCTCTCAGGGCATCGCCTGCCAGGCCCAAGAACTGCTTCGTCTCTCTTGACCCCCAGGAACCTAGGGCTCCAGCCCAGCCATTTCTTGGCACAGGCTGTGCCCAAGGCAGGGAAGGGCTGCGTGGTCACTCCTTGGATTTGCGCTCTGGCAGAGCAGGGGAGAGGCCCTGCCTGGATGAGGGGCCAGCACAAAGGGGCAGAGCTGGCCTTGAGCCCCAGCCCCCGATCCAGCCCAAGGGCGTCAACAGCACCCGGAAGCGTCTCCAGCAACGGTGGGAAGGATGTCTCTGGAGAAGGGCTGCTGGTGGCCAGGGGTCCCAGAAGACATCTAGGACACCATGGGTGGGGGGTGGGGCAGGCCAAGCCTTGGGAAGCAGGCGAGAGAGACCCTGTCCAGGTGCATGGCCCTGTGCGTAGTGGTGACTCTCCTGGGTGTGGGGGAAGAGCCCCAGACGCGGGGCAGGCCCAGCTCTGGTCCCCCGATGGCTGGGGGACCCTGGGCAAGGCCCTGCCCTCTCTGCGTCATCCAAGGGAGGCCCCATCTGTGTGTGTAGGTGTGTGACTGAAAGGGACAGGCCAGGCCCAAGGGAGACACTGCCTGACTCACAGGGCAGTCACCTTGCCGCTTCTGGGAAAGCAGGGAGGGAGACAGTGAAGCAGTGTCACATGTCCTGGGCTTCGCTGGGCCTGGGAGCCGGGCTCTGACTCCCTTGCCCGAATGCCCTTCCCTGCTCCATGCTTCGAGAGCGCCCCGCTGGCCATCACGCTTGCGTGGGGTACACCACGCAGCATCACTTCTCGGTTCCCCCGTCTCCTCGGATCGTCTTGGGGACTCTGTCCCTTTTCTGTCTCTGTTATACCCTCAGTGCCTGGCAGGTGACGGATCCTTCTAAAACGCTGTCGAATGAGTGAGTGAGTGAGTGAGTGAACGGAGCGCTTCGAGGCAGAGGGAGGCATTTGGTGCTCCTGGGGTGTGGCCGGGCAGCGCTTGACCACGCGGCAACCTGAAGTTGAGGAAGTCTTTTCCCCAGGCCCTGAGGCTTGGGGTGCCCCTGGCGGGCTGAGGTGACCACCCTCATTCAGCCCAGGACTGCACTTTCAGAAGCCGAGGTGGCCGCTGTGCTACGCTGAGCCGGGAGCTTTCCTCTCTGGGCCACACTGGCTTTGTGCAACCTCAGGCCCCAACAACCTGGAGGCCTCCCAAGACCAAGGCCAGAGAGAGGTCAGGAAGGCAACGGGCAGGGACAGGAATGACAGGAAAGCCTCCGCTGAAGGCAGGGGTCTGGGCTTGTCCCATTCTGGCTTCCTAGTCAGCTGGCTTCAGGAAGCATCAGGGCTGGGGGTGGGGGTCCCCCGGGCCCTCGTCCCCTTCAAGGCCTGTGCTGGGTGTCATTCCTGGGGTCAGCATCCTGCTGGTTCAGTCAGGTCTAGGGATGGGGCTGGCTCCAGAGGTGAGGTGACAGGGCTTGGGTTCTGGAAAATAGTAACTTTCTCCATCGGGTGAGAGAGGAGGGGAGGAAGAACCAGTGGTGACGGAAGGAAGTGCCCAGTTGTGGTCCACTTCTGAGTGACAGTGACGGGGCACCAGCAGTAAAACGGTGTTGGAAGGGGGCCATGACATCTCCCCTGAATCCTGCCTTCAAGACCATAGCCAGGTCACCGCCTCCAGGAAGCCCTCCCTGGCTGCACGGTCCCAACGACTCCCAGTTCTCCGAGAGCTCCTGTTTTCACAACCACCCACTCTCTCCCACAGGTAAACTGTGTCTGGGGTTGTTCTTGACGTTTCTGCTAGGAAGCCCCCAGGATGGGCAGTCATGTCCTCGTGGGGAGCCCTGCCAGGGACAAAGGCCTTCTCCCATGGAACCAGAACCCAGCTGCCACCTCTGCTCTGGTGTCTGGCCGCTGCCCAGTGGCCTCACGCCCAGACCTCTACTCCTGCCCAATATCCCTGGGTCCTGCAGTTCCACCAGGACCAACAGAAGCTCGAATCCCCAAACCTGTTTTTCCAGCAGCTTCCGTGCCCCTCGGCCTGAGTGAGTCACTCCTCCCCAGCTGCACCCCCAGCCCAGGCCAGTCACCACCCAGTCACTGAGCCCTCGCCCGGTGTCCCAGGCCTCTGGGCACCCTCCCTCCCACCTGCTTGAGAATGACTATGTGGTGAATGTGGGGGGGCCTTAGAACTTGGGGTGACGTTCTCTGTCTGGGTGAGGACATGGGATCCCCCACATTACCTGCCTTTCCAATGAGACCCCAGATGCCCTAAACAAGCCCCTAGGAGCCTAGGGCCAGCAGCACAGGCAGCCTTCCCAGGCTGGGGGAGCTGATGTGGAACTGCCTGGGGGGCTGCTGCCTGCACCTCCCCACACACTCCCTGGAGTCCCGGAAAGCACCGCCACACCACCCCTGCGCCTTTGGGCAGGTCCCGCCTCCAGTCACCGCTTCATGGATGACAACACAGAGCATCAGGGCAGCACCCGCAGACTCCCACATGTCAGGCGGCCCTGACTTCACACAGGGCGGCCCAGTAGCTGGCTCACCCAGGGCTACGAGCGAGGAAGGGCCATGCCTGGAGCCCAGCTCCAAAGGCCTGAGCCCGTGGTGCTTCCAAGAGCCTTAGGCCACCCCGACACCCTTCCTCCCTGCGGCAGGCCTGCCCAATGTCCTTTTGGTGGGCGTCCATCAATGGGGATGGCGCTGGGGCAGGCCCAGGGCTGATCTCTGTCTGCGCCCCAGCCCCACTCACCGTCAGCATGGCCACTAGGGCAGAGACAAAACGAGGCCTCTGTGAGGCCCACCCACACCAACCAGCAGGGTCTGCCTGCTCACACAGCACAGGGGACACCCAAGGAGAGCCAGGAAGGGGGGCGGGGGAGGGGGAGCCCGAATTTCTCCTCTGAGTGCTGTGAACCAGTGAAGTGGGGGGCTGGTCCCTACACCAGGGCGGGGCAGGAGCACGGTGAGGAAGCACTAAATGGGGGGCTCCCGGGCTCCTGAAGGGTGGGAGGGAGGGTTGTGGAGACAGGAGGGGCCCACAGTGTCCCCTACAATGAGGGGTTGAGTCTTTGCCTCCACACCTCACCCCTCTCCCCTCCGCCCTGCGCTTACCCTACCCTACTCTCCACGTGCCAGGCCCCACTAGCCTTCACATCCTATCCCTGGTCCTCTTCGCAGGCACATCCAGCAGCCCCATCTTGCTCCTGCGGCTCGCCCCGCCCCTCAGGACCTCCATCCTGACATCTCAGCAGGACCCCTGACTTTCCTGGGGTCCTTTTCCAGGTCTCTGCTGAGGAACCCCAGCCCAGAGCCCAGGAAGGCAGGGCCAGAGCTTGTTTCTGCCTCCAGGCCCTTGGACACAGCCCTGGGTACCCCCAGGGCACCTGCACAGACCCTACCCCTGAGGGTGGGTGATCCAGGGGTGGAAAGAGGGCTGCAGAGAGGGGGCCCCGGCAGTGAGCCCGCCCTGAGAAGGAGAGAGCAGACCCCTGCCCTGGGGGAGGCAGTCAGGCGCAGAGTTCCCTCCAGCTGGAAGGGGCAGGTGGGTGCGTGAGGGGTAGGCAGGTGTGAGACTGGTGGGTGTGGGCCGGCCAGGACGGGGCAGGTCCTGCTTGAATGCCAGTGTCTGGCTGGCTGCCCACTCCGGCTCCTCCCATCAGCATCTATCCCAGCTATAAGGCCTCTGGAGAGGAGGGGCCCCCACTGCTCCCGGAGACGCCCCGAGATGAAGACTGTCCTGCTGCTTCTTGTCATACTGGCTGTGGCTGCTGGGCCAGGTGAGGGCTGGCTGAGGGGCGGGGGTGAGGGTGGGCAGCTTTGGCCTGTGGGCCAGACACTGGAAGCCTGGAGCTGTGGACCCTGAGATTCAGAGAATCCTGAAATTGTGGGGTGCTAGACTTAGAATTTAAAACGAAGTGAACCTCACATCTTAACGTAGTGGAATCAGACTTACGTTTGAGAGTCAGAGAATCCTGGGTCGACCCACAGAACGGGTGTTGTGAGAGGGAGTGACATCGGCAGCTGTCTTGAGATGCTCCCCCACCCCCCAACCCCCTATCAGGAGACAAACGCCCAGGCCCTGCCAGGACAGCCCTTCCTCCCACAGGCTCAGCCTGCGCAGGCGTATAGCCTCCGGGGCACTGACTCACCCTTAGGTCTGCAGAACCAACATCTGCCCATCTGGGGACAGTCCCTGGGATGGAGGACTTAGCAAGTCGCAGAGCTCTCTGATGCCTGTCATCGTTCCTCTTGACATGCCCAGCACAGGACACCTCCTCCAGGAGGGCTCCCAGGGCCCCAGGAGACAGGGACTGTCACCTCCGTCTTGCTGAGGCTGTGTGTAGGACAGGAGCCCTGGCAGGCCAGGGGACCTCAGAGGGAAACGGCCTAAGGCAGGGGTGGCAGACGGCTCTGTCCAGTCTGCGAGGAGGGGTCTTTTTGAGCGGTGAACACTGGCCTCCCTGTGTCCCTGAGGGGCCTCCCTGGGGCTGGCCGAGGCCTCTGACACCCTCACCCCCCAGCCCGGGCTCTCCGCTGTCACGTATGCTCCAGCGCCAGCAACTGTAAGACTCCTCAGGTCTGTTCTGCCAGCTCACGCTTCTGCAGGACCATGATCAAAGGTGAGTGTTCTGGGCCACCCCAGAGCTCTGTCCAAGTGCCTCCAGAGTTGGGGGGCCACGCCCAGGGAGGATGGGGGAGTGATGCTGGAGACAGTGGGTTGTGGTGGCAATGGAGGCCGGGAGATGGGAGTTGGGGTGCTGTGGGTGCTAGCTGGGTGGGGTGTGGGGTTCAGAGGTGGCCGCCCAGCCTGACCATGCCCTTGTCCCCAGTGGAGTCCCTGTCAGGAAACCTGGTGGAGAAGGAATGCGTGGACTCGTGCACACCTAGGTACAGACCCGACCAGGTCAGCAGTGGCACAGCGGTCACCCTGTGCTGCCAGGGCGACCTGTGCAATGACAGTCTGAGCAGCAGCGCCCCCACCCGCTCCCTGCTCACCAGCACCTCCCTGGGCCTCACGCTGGCCCTGGGCCTCCTCACCTTCACCTTGGCCCCCAGCCTGTGACCCCCCGCCTCCCAGGGCAAGTCCCCCATTCCTTTCCTGGGGACTCCCATGTACCCATCGCTTCGTCTTCCTGCCCTGGGGACTTCCATGGCCCTTCCCTAGCCGCAGCGGGGGTTCAGAGGCCCTGGGCTGGCGGCTTCCTCAAAAGGTCTGGGGCCGGGTCTTGTGGGCACAGAGAACCATCCCTTCCCGAAGATGAGAGGACACAGCTCCCTGAGCCGGGCACAGAGGCATTCTGACCCCTTCTGACTTCATATTCATTCTGTTTGGTTTCTGTTTATTTTTCTACTCGAAACTCCACAAAGGAATAAAATGATTGAAAACCAGTGTGGTTGTGTCTGTGTTCTTCCAGGAGTGGAGGGGGCAGGGCAGAGGTCATCCGGCCACATAGGACCCCAAGTCCCAGGGCTTGTCACCTGGGGCCAGTCGTGGCAGCATGTGTGATGCCTGAAATGCCACCATCACTCCTTACCTTTGGAGGGGACATGACCCTCCCCCGGTACCTCCTCTGGCGCTCCTGCAGGAGCACAGCGCAGAGGCCTCCCACCCTGGGAAGGCCAGGCCCCTCCATAAGGAGCAGCAGGGAGGAGAGGCTGCCTTCTTCCCCAGCACGTCCTCCAGGCCTTGGTCCTAGAGCCTCCAGGGAGGCTGGCTTGGGACCCTCCAGGCTCAGCTGAGCCTTGGAGCTGTGCAGAACTGACTGCCCAGCCATCATGGGTCAGTCACTGCAGGTGAGCCCGGCAGCCCCCTTGGCCACCCTCACCCAGGTGGAAAGGTGTGTGTGTGTGTGTGTGTGTGTGTGTGTGTGTGTGTGACCATTTGGGCTGGGTGCCAAGGAGGAGCACAGCCTCGGAGGGCCCGGTTCTGGGCTCGCTGCCTGGCTCTGAGCAATTGGAATCATTGTACCTCTGTGAGCACCGAGCATCCAGCAGATGGACAGGCAAGCAGACTTTCCCCCTCCCAGGAGGGCCAGAGGATTCAGGGGGACTGGCCCCACTTCCTGGGCAGCCACCACACTCTCAGGCCTCACGTGGGTAGCACAAAGCCCTGGCTCCCCCCAGGGCTGGCACCCTTGCAGGCCTGGCCTGAGAAACCCCTGCGTTGCCCTCCACCCCAGCAGACAGTGCAGGGGTGGCAGCTGGTGAGGGGGAGTCTGTCTCATTTCCTGACCCTGGGCCAAGCACTCACCTCTTAATTCCCATACTTGGTGAGATGAGTCACTCTTCCCAGTCCCTGGCGGGGGAGGGGGGGGGACGACACTGGGGCTCTGGGGGTTTGTGGTGGAGCCCTGATGGCCAGGCCATCACCAGTCCATCTGCCTCTCCTGGACCGGGCCACCGCGGAACGCCCCGCTCCCCGCATACCCCTCTCCCACCCCTCTACATCAAAGCCCGCCTGCCCAGAGTAGCAGGGGTTCCACCCTGTCTTTACCAGTGACCTTGAGCACGGCACCACAGTCCCAGAACCTATGTTCCTATGTGTGCCTTTGGCACCCACCTGGAAGCCAGAACCCCTCAATGTCGCCTGTGGCTGAGGTTGGTGGCCCTGGCATCCTCTGCAGGGCTGCAGGTCTCTCCCCTTGACGCTCCCAGGGGCTTGGAAAACCTGCCTGGTGCTCCCTCTGCGACGAGAATATTCCGAGGGGCAGGTCCTGGGGCCAGCGCGCCCCCTGGTGGCCACCGAGAGTGGGGCTTTGGGAAGAGCCAGCCGAGGGGGAACCGCTCTCCTTACCCCAAGTCCCCTCGGCACCTCTCTGCGCCCACTCAGGTAGGTCTGAGGTGTCCCAGGCTCCCCGTTTCCGTGCGTGGAAACCAAGCTGCAGGGAGCTGTCCCACAACAGGCTGGTCATAGGGCTGGGATGCGAATCGAGGGCGGAGCGGGAGCGGGGCGGGGCGGGGCGGGCAGCTCCCTGGTGTCGGGAAGGGCGATCTGTGCTGGTCCAGCTCAAGACTGGGCGCCAAGTTCCTCCAGGGTGCTGGGCTCCAGAGACGGCCCCTCCCGCAAGCTGCAGGACGAAAGGAGGAGGACGTGCTCCACGCAGCAGAAAATCGTCCCTGCAGGGCAGGCAGACCGCGGCCGCATGGGCGCTGGAGAAGCCAGCAAGTGGGAGGCCTCCAGCACATCCCACGGTGAGGGCAGCCACGCCGGTGGCCGGAGCGGCGTCTGTGGCCTGCTAGGACTCCAGGCTGGAGGTCACAGGTTGCAGGAGGACTTTTCAGGGACTCCTTCAAGCCCAGGAACAGTCGCAGCTCCCAGCCCATCACTGCCCTCCACCTCCTGGCCTCTCAGGGTCACCATCCCACTTCCCACCCTGCTGGCTGGGTCTGTGACCCCACTGGACAACCCACCCACCCCTTCAACCATCCTGGACCCAACCTGACACCAGCCCCGACCCTAATCAGATGCCACCTCAGGCAACAGGCTGGGGACAAGGATGGGCTGCCCTGGCCCTGTGATTGGACGGAGAGGCTGGCCAAAAGGGTCATTTTGTTTATAACGTTTACACCTGTGGTCTCGAGGGAACCTGTCTGTAGTCTGTTTTGCTTGGAGTGATTGTGTCTGGTTTGGGTATCAGGGCGATGCTGGCCCCCTAGATCAGTGGGCCTGATTCTGGATGGGGTTGTATAAAACTGGTATGATTCTTTCTTTAAGTGCTTTGTAGAATTCACTGGAGCTTTCTTTGTGGGAAGATTTTAATTACAATTCAAATTCTTCAAAAGACAGAGGGATAATAAGGTGTTTTATATATATATATATATATTTTTTTTTTAATTTAAAATTTATTTTTTTTTTTAGCTGAGCCATCCTGCCACCTGTTGGCAGCTCAGTGGCTGCTCAGCTCGGGCCAGGACTCGCACTGCTGTTGCTCAGATCTCAAACTCTTGAGCGAGCTCTTAACCAACTGAGCCACTCGGCCGGCCCTATATATATATATTTTTTTTTTGAGTGAGCATTGCTAGCTTGTGTCTTTGAAGGAATTTGCCCATTTTATCTAAGTTATAGTATTTATTGGCATAACATTGTTCATAATGTTTATTATCCTTTTAACGTCATTATGACCTGTCGTAGTATCATCTTTCTCCTTCTTGATATTGGTGATTTGCCTTGTCTCTTTCTGATCAATCTGGAGAGGGGTTTAAAACTCTTATATTCTCAAAGAATCATGCCGAGAGCCGGCTCGACAGCCGTGGCCCCTGGATGTACAGGCCAGGAACCCACCGAATGGTCCCTGAGCATGATTGATCGGCGTGAGGAAATGAGAAATGAAAGAAATGGCATAGACACCAAAGTTGGGATTAGGAGGGTCACTGACTGCAGATGGCAACCAGGATAAATTTTATTAAAAGACATAATGCTTATATAGAGAGCAAGTTCCTCCTTTACCAGGAATAAATCTTATCTAAGCATAGGGGTTTTTTAGGGGGGTTTTGGGGAAGGAGGAACCAATGTTCCTGACTTAGGAGTTTGGAGGTGAGATAATGTCTTGGCAACAGGTTACATGATCATACAGCATAAACTAATAATATATTTTAAGCAAAGTGAAACTTAAGGCAAATAGCAACTGTCAGCAAGTCCATGATGGAAAAGTCCCAAAAGTTCATAAGTCCATAGACAGTAACATCCGAGGGTCTGGTGGTTGTGGTTTAGACGCTTCTGGTTTTCCAAGCACAGGAGGTGAGCTAGGCGTTGTTGGGTTACTGATTTTAGCAGTTTCCCTTTTTGCTGTTCAGCTAACAAGCAGCTTTACAGTCTTTTTCTCAGCACACAGAACGTGGGGGTCTTCAGCCACCTGCCATTCCCCACCTGCAGTCAACCTAGGGTCTCAGTACTCTGAGACGACTCCCAACAGAATCAGCTTTCGGTTTGACTGATCTTCTCAATTGTTTTTGTTTTTTATTTCATTGATATTTTGCTCTGATTTTTATTATTTTCTTTATTTTGCTTACTTTGGGTTTGATTTGCCTTTTTGTTTGTTGTTGTTCTAGTTTCAGAAGGTGGAAGCTTAGGTGATTGTTTTGAGACTGAAAATTAATAAAAGGAAACCTCTCTAAAATGTAGTCGGGGCACCAGAGGGAGGTCTCACACAGTATGCGTGTGTCAATTACAGGAAGAATTGTCAATTACACAAACAGAGGAAACGGCAACTGGGAAGAACCATCAGTTACAGGTCCAACAGGAAAGCATGTATAATGCATTGCATCTCCTACAAGAAACTGACCACCCCAGCAACTCAACCAACAACAAACGGTGAACTCTTGCGTTCCCCCAATGGACTTTTGTTCAAAACAACCCTTCTCGACTTCCTCCTCTTTCTCCATACAACATCGTTCCTTGCCTTCATTGGTTGAACTTGCTGATGGCTTGCTTGTCCCCAGTTGCAATTCTTTGCTTTTCCTGAGTAAACCCATTTCTGCTGGTAATGTAATCGACTGTTTTATTTTTAAGGCCAAACAAGAACTTTTTTTTTCTAATACAAGCATTAGTGCTAACCTTACCTTCTAAATGCTGCTTTAGCTGCATCCACTAACTGATAGATTGTGTTTTCATTTTCATTCAATTGGAAGTACTTCCTAATTTCCTTTCAAATTTCTCCTTTGACCCATAAGTTATTTAGAAAGGTGTTGTTCAGCTTTCTAAGTATTTGGGGGATCTTACGGATATTTTCTGTTCTTGGTTTCTAATTTAATTTCACTGTAGTTCAAGAAAATAATTTGTGTGCTTTCAATCCTTGTAAATTTATTGAGGTTTGTTTTATGGCCCAGAACACAAGTCTATCTCGGCAAACGTTCTGTGTGTACGGGAAAAGAATGTGTTCTTCTGTTGGATAGAGTGTTCTTTATAGGTGACCTTTGAACAACTGAAGTTTGAACTGTGCGGTTCCACTGACACCACGGAAAGTGGACACTCAAACCCACGTTGTTCAATGCTCAACTGCACTTTCAACCTGTGGTTGGGAATCCTTGGGTGCAGAGGGCTGACTGAAGAGGGCTGACTCGGATTTTTGACTGCACAGGTGGTTGGCGCCCCTAACCCCTGTGTTGTTCAAGGTCAACTGTACTATTCAGCAGGTCAAGTTGGTTGGTAGTGTTCTCACGTCTCCTTTATCCTTGCATACACTTGGCTCTTTCTCTTTTTATCATCTCACAACCTCTGTTTTTTAATTGGGGTGTTTGGACCATTTAGTGTGACTTGGTGTAGTTGGGTATTTTAAACCTCTCATCCTGCCATTTGTCTTCTTTTTGTCCAACCTGTTCTTTTTCTCTTTCCCTCTTTATCAGCTCAGCCTTCTGTTTGACTAATAGATTAATTCTTTTATGATTTCATTTTATCTCCTTTGTTGCTTTGTGAGGCAGAGCTCTGACTTTTCTTTTATTTCTCTCTCTTTTTCAGTGGTTAAAATGTGTATAATACACGTCTTTAACGTATTACAATCTATGTTCAAGAAATATACTTACAACAGTGCACTTAACATTTTCCCTCTCCTGACCTAGACCTGTTTGTGCTACTATTGTCATACTGTTTACTTCTACATTGGCTAGAATTTCCATGATATATTGTTACTATTTTTGCTTTAAGCAGTCAATTATCTTCTAAAGTAATGTAAAAATAAGGAATAATTACCTTCCATTTCCCATTTCTGGGGTTCTTCATTCCTTTCTGTAGATGTGTGTGTTTCCATGGAGGATAACCTCCTTTCTGCCTGAAGAACTTCCTTTCACATTTCTCAAAATGTTTGCATTCTTTTTGCCTTTGCATGTCTGAAAAAGCTTGGTTTCACCTTCACTTTTCAGAGATGGTGTTGCTGGGCATGTAGTTCTAAATTGTTTTGGTTTGGGTTTTTGGTATTTCAGACATTGCTTCACTGTGCTGGCCTATGCTGTGTGACCGGAAGTCTGCTGCCATCCTCACCTTCGACACTGTGCATTGTGTAATGTCTGCTTTTAGTGTTTTCTGTTCGTCGCTGGCTTTAAGCAATTTGATCATGATGTGCTTTGGTGCAGTTTTCTTCATATTTCTTGTGCTTGGGCTTCACTGAGTTTCTGGGTTCCATGGGTTTACAGTTTTCATCATATTTGGTAAAGTTTTGGGCATTATTTCTTTGAAAAGAAAATCTTTTTCTTCTCTTCCTCGCCTCTTCTTCTGGGACTCCAATTGTATGTATTAGGTCAATTGAAGTTGTCCCACAGCTACCTGAATATTTTTTTCAGTCTTCCCCCCCCCCCATGATTCTTTTTTAGCAGTTTCGAAGGCTTTATCATCAAGTTCACTAATCTTTTATCAGCGGAGTCTAATCGGCTGTTAACCCTATCCAGTGTGTTTTTTATGACAGACCTACTTTTCATCTTCAGAAGTTCAATTTGTCTTTCTTTTAATCTCCCATGGCTCCCGTGACATGGTCGTGTTCTCCTCCACCGTCTTGAATATATGAAATATAATATTTGTTTGACTGTCCTTGCCTACTAATACTATCACCTGTGTCATTTGTGGGTTCGTTTCTAATGTTTTTTTTCTCCCCACTATGGGTCACAATTTCCTGCTTCTTGGCATGTTTTCAATTGGGTGTCAGACATTTAACTGGGTGAATTTTACATTGAGTGCTGGATTATTTTCTCTTTTAAATAATTTTGTGCTTGGTTCTAGGAGGCAATTAAGTTACTTGGAGATGACTGGACCCTTTCAAGGCTTGCTTTTTTATTTTTTCATTTTTTATTATTAGTTTCAGGTGTACAGAACAATGCAATAGTTATCCTTTTCACCCCTCACAAAGTAACAACCTCCCTCCCCGCATCCACTGTTCCCCCACCCCAAGGCTTGCTTTTAAGCTGCGTTAGTGGGACTAGGTGTGGCCTTTAACCTGGAGCTGAGTTGGCCGCATGACTGAGGCAATTTCCTTCTGAGCGCTCTGCCCAATGGCTCACACATTTTGAGGTTTCTCCTCCCCCTCACGCAGGTGAACTCCTGCCAGCCCTGTGTGAGTTCTGCCTTCTCCTTGCACATCTCCGGGTAGGTTCCTCCAATGCACGCCCCGCTGGGCACTCAGCTGAAGACTCAGGAGCCCTCTGCTGACCTCCCAGCTCTCATTCCAGGCAGCTCTCTCCTCTCTCTGCCCTGCCCTGTGAATTCTGGCTTTACCCTGTCTCCGCAATCAGAGAGACAGCGTTTGGGTTCCCCATCCTCCTCCGCTGTGGCCTGTAGCTCCTTCATTTGCTTCCCTTCCCTCCAGGATTGTTGTCCTGTGCTGCCTGGGGCACGATGCCTGACAAACATTGTTTTGGGGTTTTGGGCCCCATTTTTTAGTTGTTTATGGCAGAGCTGTAAATCCAGCTCCCCCTAATTCAACAACACGGTCTGTTCCTGGCACATGGGTAATTTATCTCAGTGACTATTTGGCAAATAGGATGACCATCTTAATCTGTGCAGAGAGGCTGCTCTCTGGGCTCTGGGGTCTCAGTGCCTAAAGGCCCCCAAATGGTTCGTCTCTTTGTTTTTTTTTT